GTCCAGCGATATAGAGAGAGCACTTCCCTTCGTTTCAACTGTTGCTCGTTGAAGTCTTCTGGGATACGGCCGCGCACCTGTGCGAGTGCTGAGCGCATTACTTTGCGGAAATTGCGCTGGGGTGTTGCGTTAGTTTTCTATAGATGCGATAGAAAGTGTGGACAGGGGACGAAGGGAGGTGGGATGTATGAATCAACGTGAAACTAACCTGGTATTCTGTATTCAGCGTTGCGACACAGGCCTCGTGGGCTCGGACGATGGTTTCACAGGCTTTTACTACGCTGGGTGATGCTTCGACCTATTTTTTTATGTTAGATTCATGATTCACTTCATATCATTTCTCTGGAAGAAAAAAATGGTAGACGGAAAAGAAACATACCTGCAGCTTATCGGCGATAAGTAACAACAGAAAGCTACCCTGCAACAAATACACACCAAAGAAAAATGGCATAAACTCCAACCCGGGATCGTATTCCAAAATATTGTTTATGGCTTCTGCTGCACTAACAGCATGTCCCGTTGCGTTGATAAAACTCTGCGACGAGATCCATAGGTCGTTATCATCAAGTAAAGAAATCGGGTCCCATTTTCCCGTTAATAAAATATGAAGAACATGCATGACATGTGTACCATAAGCCACTACAATCCGTGTTTGGATATTGGCTTCGGAGACGTGACTGGAGGATACAGTGTGAACTGAATGAACTGAAGGAGAGCCGATGTCGGTGTGTTCGAGAGGTTTATTTGGTGTAGAGGACGAATTGTTTCCTTCCATGTTTTGATCTGTTTGGTCATCTGGCAAGGGGGGAATTTGCTCCAATTCAAAGGCTCGTAGACTCTGACCATAGGCATCGAGTTGTTTTGCGATTTCATTGGCATGATCGTCCCACTCGCGAGCAGAGCGAAAGCCAATGCCGAATCGAGGATGGTTTTTGGCGTGGTAGAGGTCTACGATCTCGCCGAGAATCGTCATGAGGGGTAGGAAGTATCCGAATATACTATGTCCAGTACACTCAAAGTTAGGTCCGTGCCTCCGTATACGATGAGTGCCCGAAGGGGAAGTAATATGAATGCTTGAATCACCAGTATAGTATTCTCCAGCCTGCCATAATGCGTCATCCATTGGCTGGAGAAGACCATCACATTCTATATCTAACAGAAAGAGTGGCCTGTTGTAACACAATGCGAGGTGCCTGTCCACTGTATAACAAAGCCACCATATCCTTCTTCTCTCTTCCCTCTCTTCTTCAGTTATCGGTCCTGGAGTTCGAGGTAATTCATCGTCATCTTCTCCATCAGCATCCACATCATTGGCTCCTTCATTTGGTTGTTCTGGAGCCATTGGTGCAGGATGGTGGGGTAATTCCCTTCCTAATTTAAGTTCACGAGCTAATGACCAAGCCGCATTCCACCAACGCAGGCTCGCTCCTTTGTACTCGCTAGCTGACACAACAGTAGCGAGATGAATATAAGTTATAACATCGTCAAGAGTGCCAGCTGCACCAAAAGCACTTGTTTCGTTCAGTGCATCTGTAGATACCGAACCGGGCATTGCTACACCAAGACCGCCCAACGCCACACCATTAATGACAGTGTTAGAGAAATTGGAAGCAGATTCATTGCTTCCGGACGTTCCATGAATGAGAGGTTTAAGAAGACCGACAGTAAGTTCGAGTAATTTTTGACAAATTCGTCCACGAGATGATGGACTGGCTGTTAGAAAAGCTGCGTCACTAGTTTGTGCCACAACCCATAATATGCTAGCAAGTAAGGCAGGCGTACATTGCCGAGGTTTCGTAGGGTGAAGTATCGAGTGTTTGCGAAAGACGTAACCGAGAATATAAGGAGAGGTAGGGTGCATCAAAGCTGATGACGAGCTTGCGAAATATAATTCGAGTAAATCACAAGCTAAAGGTATGGGGATGATACTGCCAAGGTGAGGTACCAATGGCTGTAGCACGGGATATCGTAGAGGTGCATTGAAGTTCTGATGTGTCACGTGTTGGTACTGGTTTGAAGGAGAGGGTAATGACATCCACCCACCGGGTGAAGGGGCCTCAGAGCCCATAGGAAAACCGGTCAAAGGGCTTTCGGCTAAGCGAAACTGACCTTGGGTATTACCCGTAAAATTAGGCGGGCTTTGGCCCTGTATAGCATAGGGTAGATCTGAATAACCGGTCTGCGAGGTGTTAAAGTTTGCATGACTTCCACTGCCGTTCATCATGTGGGAATTTAATGTAGAGCGGTAACCGTGCATGCTTGAGTAGCCATGTAAATTCAGGGACCCAGGACTCCCGATTTGATCGACGTCTGCGCGGCTAACGTGGGGCGGATGTCCTTGGGATGGTACTTCTGTGAGGCTTTCGAGACTACCGGCACGAATTCTTCCTTTCATCAATTCACGAGCTGAAGGCTTTTCAACTGCGGCTGTGTTAAGACTTAAAGACCTAGATGGTGTATGTCGTGGGAATTCAACACCTTCGTTTGTCAAGGAAATGGCGGAAGTTGGATCATTGCGGGACTCCACTGGAGATCTCTCTTCAGACGATTGATCGGTAGGCGACTTGTGTCCATTGGCAGCAGCAGCGGCGGCGGCTTGCTGTGCAAGATCTTTTCGGGAAGCTTTTCCTCGCTTTTTTCGTTCACGGATATACTCGCATCCTAGTCCAAATTCTATATCCTCATGAGCCTTATCCGTTAGATCTCAATGAAAATACTTACCGACACAATGAGCGCAGGGACTCTGCCCATCGCATTTAGTCCTGAGTTGATTACACTGATCGCAAGCTCTGCTAATTCTTCTTCGAATTGGTCCAGAATTCCCGGTCCCTCTGGCAGATGGAGCGTTGCCTCCTGGCATTCCCATTGCATAAGGATGCTGTCGATGTTTTGAAGTAGCATTTCTGTGACTCTGTGAGTTTTGACGAATGTCCACTTGATGTTGGTGAAGCTGTGAGATAGCATATTGTGAGCCATGAGCAAGAGTATCTAAGCCTGAAGTGTGCATATGATTGGATGGTAAGTGTCCGTTAGACAGCATATTGTTTGATGGCATAGTATTATACGCCGAGAAACGATGAAGGGGATTGGAAAGCATTTTGGAGTTGATGCGCAAACAAAGTTGCTAGAACCAGGTTGGTTTGAAGAGACTTAATCTGGCAGTGATGGAAGCTCTGTTAATGGTTGACAGATTTAATAGTTGATAGCTGACGAGCTTTCCAGAAGATGCAAGTAAATAAGGTTCTAAAATGTTTGTAAGAGTGCGATTCGAGCATCTATATCTCCTGAATACGGCATGGAACTGACATATACCTTGGCTCCCTGTATATCAGCAGGACCGTCTTGGAAGGGGAAATAAAAAGCTAAAATAATAGCCACAAGATGACAGGGCAATGTCTCTAACATGAGCTCATGAACTAATAAAGTCTATGAACTATATGGCGGGGTTCGCATGAAGTACCGGTAAAGGACAAGAGGCATGTTCTTTTCCTAAAGTTTATTGATCTTAACTTGTGGAGAGAACAAGGATTAAGAAAATCAGCGAATAAGTCCAGGGTATGCAGGTGCTGGTCTTTTGGTCTCGGAGAGCCTACCCCACGGTGGCATCACCTCCGAATGTCTTTTCCTTCGGTCATACTTTTTCCGAAAATCTTGAAATCGAAGATTGAATCATCAAGGATGCTCTGGTGGTTGGTGTGAACAAGGTTTGAGTTTTTTGTTGAAATTCCATCACTCAACCAATGATACTCAATATAAATGAGGGCGGCCAGTGATAATGTAGGTATAGGGTATGATAAACATAATATCACTTATCGTTTTTTTCTTCCTCTCTCCTACAGTACTTTCACAATCTCGTTGTTTCGTTTTGCCATTAAATCAATGACTTGGTTGAGGTTGACATGGGGTCCAAATATGTAATAGTAGCTCGTTTAGCTAGCTGTTGGTGGAGTGGAGAACGGAGTGGAGTGAGTCTCTGGCGAAATCTTAATATTTGCCATCCGTCAACTCTATTCAGTGGATTGAAAAGGATTGGACAAAAGGAAAATTAGTCAACTCGGTAGGACACGGCTCTATCCTTCAATTGGCAGTTCTCAATCTTGTCAACAGTGTTCTAGTGTTCTAGTCCATGAGCTTGCGCAATAAATCACCCCCAAGAAAACGGGATCAGGGATACGATCTCTACTATTGTCTCTTAGTCGTGTAGCACACATGAACGAGTGAGTTATTCAGGAAGTTGTCAAGACAATCCAGATTCCACATCCTTTGAAATCGAAATTCTCAAATGAGTGATCATCAGGGCCCCCCTCAGGTCAACCCAGTTCAACCCAAATCGACCCCCTCCTCCGAGGTTGGTGTGACCAGGAAAAATTTAAGAAATTTTAAGGACGACAATCATCGTTGTTGGGACAAGGTAATGATCTGTGTTCATTTCCCCCCTCGAGACCTTATTTCTCCATAGCTTTTTAGAATTAGCTTTCCCCACACCCCTTTTCATCTTAATATACTCGGTACATCGAGTTGAGACAGTTGCGAAAGAAGAGGTGAAAGTGGGTGGCGTTAATTTAGCGATGGTACGGTGCTGAGATCCGTAATGTGATGTGCAAGGACATTTCTCAATGAAAGCTTGCCTGCTTGCTTGTTTTCTTTCTCAATTTGATATTATGTTTTGGTAGTGTATATGTGCGTACTCGGTATGAGTTTGTGTTCCAACTCTATCTTGACAATTAATGCGCCAATGAAACATCAACATTTGATTCAGTTCCCACTTTTCTAGAAGCCATATTAAATATTCTGGATACCTTTCTCATGTACTCAATTATCGAATGTAAAGTAATTATTCCATCGTCATCCATCGTAATGGTGCGCATAATGTTTTCAATGTGAGGTAGGTACATCAAGCCCCCCTCTCTGATCGCCATCTTCAGCCCGAGGTAACTTCCTTTCGGGCACCTCACAAGATCCCCACACTTCAATCATCAATCCAAATTCTGGCTTTATGGTCAGCAGTTTCCAATCTTCAACGCAGCATTCCATTCGCAGCACCTTCCCGAACACAACCACACACGTTCTGGGAAGATCAATGCAACAAACACATGCAAACAACATTCATGACACGGTAATAAGATTATGGATAGTAAATAGTACGTTAGCGAGGTTGGGTACTCGAGTCTAGCTGGTGCTGAATGCATGTCAATTCTCATACATACTTACTTACCGAAAAGGAATCGGATATGGTACGACCAGTATTGATCTCATTGAATTGTTGGTGGTTATCCCTGGTTACTTGACCATCCAAGCACCAAACGGTCCGATGTTCCTCGTCCTTATTCGAGCTTGCTCGTCTGCACATGCTTTCGCTTGCACGTTTATATATGTTGTTCTAATCCCAATGTGACTCTGTGCCCGACCCCAACTTCTTGGCGACCCCATATTGATTGTGTTGATTTGATAAAAACTCGTAAGCAAAGTCACATTTTAAGCCGTGATCAATAAAACAATTCATAAATTCACTCTCTATCTGATCTCCAAGGTCGGTAACAGTCGGGTCACGTCAGGCTTTTGAAAGGGTGCAGCATGCAATATGCACATCCAACAGAATCCTGAAGGTCCATCCTTCTCCAGATCGAAAAAAATCCCCACGTATTACCAGGTGCGAGGCCTTGATAAGCGTGAGAAAATTGGAACTGCCATATGCAGGTGCAGCTGTTAGTAGGACCAAAATGCGGAGTCCCGAGGAAATCCATGTTAAATTTCCCCGTGAAATTCCCCCATTCCCTTGAGAATCAGAAGTAACTCTGTTCTTCTCCAGTCTCGGTACGTACTTCCTTTCCCTTTCAGTCAATCTCTGTTGAGGTGACATTAGATTTTGTCATCATGCGAATCATTCATTTCTCTCATTTCAGGCAGGGGTGGCAGATTGTTGGTATCTAGATGTGATAGTCCTGCTTTCCATGGTCCCTTGTAATATCATGTGCCAGGATGAGATATAACGTAGGCATTTCGTCTCGGACTCCGTGTCTAGGTTGTAAAAGATATTAGTTAGACGATAAGCTTTAGCCAGCCACCCGAGAAGCGCAATATGGCCCGTGTCTCTTCAGGAGCCGAAATCCGCCGCCATCGAGGTGGAAATCTTAAGGCTGGCGCGATATACTAAGGTTATCCAGATGAAAACATACGTGCCATTATCATACATTGAGACTATCCCGGGGACCCCTTTTTCTAAACCCTAAATTCATAAGTGCGTCGTGAGGTTGTCGAATCATGAGTAAAAGAAATGCCTGGACCCGTGTACTGATATATTGATTTTCCAGGAACAAGTTGACCAATATTGAGCATTAAAACCACGGAAAAATCTCCGATTACTCCACGTTCTAGTGAAACCTGCACCGTGAGAGAAGCGCTGCGGTGAATGGGCCGATGTTCCCGCACTTTTTCTTACCTTGTTACCCCAGATCGACGAGCCTCTTGCCCTAAGTCTCACAGCTTGATAATCTTTATGTTTTTTGGTTGACTTTCTTTCACTCCTAAACACCAGCTGACTTGAAGATCCTTATTTCTTGCTTTTTTGACATATGGTGATCACGACCTGAATCTTAGATCGCACCAAACACAAATTTGGAGAGTCGGAAAATGGTTACCAATGTAGAAACTCATATCGGTCCTTCGATGGCGAAAGATTGATATCGGAGGAATTCGAAACAGTTTGATGGCTTAGTACATTCCATTCTGGAACTAGGATAGAATTGAGGTGGGATCACAAAGTAAGATGCATTTCCCCCCAGCCGCACGTGTTAACAAAAATGCTGAACTAGACCGTCAGAAACGCCTTTTTCGATGCAAAAGATGCTCTCATAGGGAGATTGTCAAAATTGTGCAATGAGTGTTGGGATATCTTTTGGAGGTCAGACGCTGATATCCATGACATGGCATGCCAACTCGAGTGACAATTCTGATGTCGTGTCACTCTGAATAACTCATGCGATGTGGTACTGCATTTGAAGTCGACATGAGATCAATGTCGCAGTATTGTAAGGTTGGACCAGGTGTATATGGTACCACCACGATTCCACCACGTAGGTTTAGTAATGCTGGATAGTCATCCTTCCAGCATCCTTGATGGAATGAGAGTCGATTTAACGGTGCGAATTTTGGAACCTATTGAAATGTCAGCCGCCAGGAACGCCATCGCTGAACCACATGTTGCGAGGTCAGTCAGTTGGGGCGCTTGTAAGGCGATTAGAAATTGAAACCCAAGACTCATCATCTCTTCAATCCCAATTTCACTTCTCTAACTTAAGCCGAATCTCTATGGTTATGCCTCCAGGTATTGAATTCTAGAATGTATTGAGATCCTACCTACTTGGGAAGGTACTTTAAAAGTTACTAGGGGTAGTACCTCGAAGGCATTGAGCTTCATAACAAGCATGTGAATATGTTATTTCTCGAAATCATATCAAAGGGGACTGCCGAACATGTACAGCCGAATTGATAATGAATGTATGCCCGATCCCGAATGTCAGTCAACCTTGTCTGAAATTGAGTGTTTTAAGTGTTTTCTTCATAAGATGAATATGATAAGCATGATGAGACTCGAAAAGTCTGTTCATAGGTACTTGAAGTATCTTGCCGAGGAACAAAGTCTCCGGGGATTATGAAGGTCTCATTATGCAGTAGCTGCTGGTAGTAAATGTACGATATATAGGTAGGTGGTCGAGATTATCTCGTGCGTGTGATGAGTGTACAGATAGAGAACAAATATCAATGTTCGATGTAGACCTACATCATAGATAGTACTTAAAGCCCATTTCAAGGAATGGCAAGTTTTGTTGATTGGAGGTTTGCTTACAAAGTGATGAGTAAATTTTGTCATTTGTCAGCCATCATCGGAGCCAAGATTAGAGGTGGTTCTCAAAACGAAGATTGATTGGTGGTCCAGTGATATCATATCATGTGATCTTCGATAGAGTTTAGCTCGCTCATGTGTCGGCTTCTAGACGTCATCGCTCTCATCAAAAACATGCTTCATTACTGGGAATAACCTCAAAAGGATATCAAGACATGTCAAGATATGGCCGTCTTTTTGATGTATTCCACTTCCTTATGTAACGCCGCTTCAACCTTCCTGAACCTCAGTACACGCATGGCCAACATGTTTGCTCAATTTTCTGCTGATGAATCTTTGTTTCTGATCTGGCTATTTCTCCATCTTATTACTAAAGTATCAAAGGATTTATAGTTTCAGTTTGAGTTTCTTGTTGATTAAGTAAACTTCTCCATCAAAGAGAATGCCATCAAAGAATCTGAATGGCCAAGAATCATATCTCCGATGCGTCTACATCATCAAACTAGGAGATAGTAGGTTGTGGATTATTAACAATCCACTCAGGCGGGGTGATCCAAACGATCATTTTCTTTGTACTGCTATATATCTGCTCACATCGTTATCACATTAGCACCATTAACAGCTTTATTTTCAAGACCATTGAACCTCATACTTTACCCCCATACATATATACATATACAATTCCACTGACAACTAATCAACATGTCCCAATCAATCCCCAAAACTACCAAAACTTGGAGAATCGAAGGATCAAACGGATTTGATAGCTTGAAATATGATACTCAAGCTACACTTCCAGAATTGGGTGCTAACGATGTTCTCGTGAAATTTCACGCTGCTTCATTGAACTACAGAGATTTGATAATCCCCAAGGTAAGTTTGCAAGACCAATGCTGTCTTTGGTAACACTGCTCCTGTAGGTGAGGCTAACCAGTTATTTTTTTCCTCAGGGCCAATATCCATTTCCACTCAGAGATGGCATAATTCCCGGCTCCGATGGTGCTGGTGAAGTCCTTGCTGTTGGATCGAAAGTTACTCGATTTACCCCCGGTGCTAAGGTCCTTACTCTTTTCAGTCAAACTCACTATGGTGGTTCGCTCGATCAATTATCTGTGCAAAGTGGCTTGGGTGGTGCCATGGATGGTACACTTCGTCAACACGGCATCTTTAACGAAAATGGGCTCGTAGACATGCCTTCCTCTCTTTCATACCTCGAAGGAGCAACTCTGCCATGTGCAGCCGTCACAGCCTGGAATGCTCTATATGGATTAAAGCCGCTGAAACCTAGTGACGTGGTTCTCACGCAAGGAACTGGTGGTGTTAGCATATTCGCTGTCCAATTTGCCAAAGCAGCTGGGGCAACCGTAATTGCCACAACGTCCTCCGAGTCAAAAGCTTCGACACTCAAGAAACTCGGTGCCGACCACGTCATCAATTACAAAACCACTCCAGAATGGGGTGCACATGCCAAATCCCTTACTCCCAAGTCCGCTGGCGTGTCGCATATTCTCGAAGTTGGCGGTCCTACTACCATGGCACAATCTCTAAAAGCCATCAAGATCGACGGCGTTATCAGTATAATTGGATTTGTGGGCGGACAAGCAAAAGAAAAGGAGCCAGGATTTTTGGACTGTTTGATAAACATCTGTACAGTTAGAGGCTTGCTCGTGGGAAGCAGAGAAATGTTCGAGGACATGAACAGGGCGATTGATGCAAATGGAATCAAACCAGTGGTCGATGAAAAGGTATTCGGACTGGATGAGCTTAAGGAGGCTTATCAATACATGTGGGACCAGAAACATTTTGGCAAGTTGGCCATTAAAATCGAGTAGAGGCATGTAAGCATGTTACCTTGGGTACTAGGACAATTCGGGACTATCAGGATACCTGTTTGACCATATTATGAATATATACTATTAAGAAAGAGGGATGCAGATGAAACTCTACCTCATTGGCAGTTTTCTCGATCGTATTCGATATTCACAATCTGAATTCTTTTATTTCGTCTTTTCTTATCCCTTTCCATGTTATGTTCGGGAATTTTTCATTCCCATATACTCACAGAAAAACAACATCAAGAGTCGAAAAGCTCCAGATTCTCTGATCCTATTTCGCTCTGCAACCTTTATCCGTGGCTTTTCATTCGGCCTCTCACCTTGCTTGTCCCACACTAGCAGTGTTTACATCCATCAAATTAACGATCAGATTTCACTGGCCAAGGCTGTTTTCCATGAGAATTTGCAGCACGGTACACACTTTGTTCCAAAAATGGCACTGTACTTGACAAACCCTATTTTGTTCATACTTGTACTCGGATCCTTTGTATCGGCTATGGTTCCGGCGCTATGGGTTCTGATGTTTGCATATTTGTAAACCTTTGCATCTTTATGATTCGAGAGACAACGTGCATGATGGTTCTAAATGGATCCTAGAATGTCTTCATTTCGGATTGTAGCTCGAAATATTGAAAGCAGAGTTCGCATTGGGGCTTGATAGTTTGATGAACTTCTTTTTATGTAAATCTCGGGTGCATTCGAGTGGATGCTGGGGATTTTCTAAATGTTTGTGTATTGAAGCATCGCGTCGCGTCGCAAGCTTTTCTCGTCATCGAATATGTGGTCATCTGATAGAGCAGATTGTGAAAAGTGAATTATTTTGAAATAAATGTATGTTGGATTGAATCTTCTCGCAAAAGCTAGTGGCTGAATACTTAGTGATGTCCACAAAGGGGCGATTTCCGCTCATTCTGTTCTAATATCAGCTTGAGTGCTACTACAGCAGCATCTATTACGTAGTGGTTCATTGTATATTATTACATTGCCGTTGTAGTCCCAGGTACAGATAGTCTGAGTTTCACAGGGCCAGTCTCATTAAGGATACCCAAACACCGGTCTGATAGTACTCTGCAATCAATTGAATGAGGCTCTACTGGCCCTTCGGCTCCACTGCCGCGGAGACAGAACGATTCAATAGGAAGTCCTGAGGGTAGCGAGCCATGAGGTCGAGGTTCTTATTCTTTTGATGATACTTTTTGCGGTGATTAAGTTGTATAGTAACATTTTATGTATTGGTGTCTCGATTAGTATGAATGCTATTTGGGGTCTAGTATATGCTAGTTTATATTGTGTGTGTTTTTTAATAATAATAAAATCTATTTTAGGTTTGATAGAATATTGTTATTTTGGTCTTGAAAGGGGAAAATCGAATACGTATTCTGAGTGTGTTTTCTGGATTTTCTATGATTTCTGAATCTTTTGAATTCTTTCAATTTAAATCAAATCAAGACTAGGATGACAATAGTATAAAAAAGGTAGAGACTGAAATATCCAAAATTTCAATTGTAAACTCTAACATTTGGGGTATGAATACATGGAATGATGCTATATGAGGTTATTATCATACTTTTTATAAATTGACCGTTTGATCATTGATGTGAATGCTTCGCTGTTTCTCCGAAAGCCAGCGCTTCACCTAAAGTATCGTCGAAAGGCTTTCGGACGATGATTGTGTGGAAGAAACTTCGTCTACGCCTACGCCTACACCAGTTTCGAATTATCAACCGATTATTGTTGTTCGTTTTGGAATTGCGACTGTGATAATGACAGCTATCGCAACAATAAATCATTATCAGCTTATATGTCACTTGATTGTATGGAATCACGTCTTGGAATTGCATGTGATGTTGTTATTATTTGACGAGCTAATACTCGGGAGCGGGAACTGTTCATCAGATCAGTTTTACTCAAGCGGAAATCACGTCTTCGAAAATCAATGGTTCAATCACATGGTCAATATCAATATCCAAACGAAACACTATTGACTGAATGTAAATTTACTATATACTAGGTGAGAGATTCTAGTTACATTCTTTAAGCCAAAGCCATGCTGCTTTATGCGGCAGTAGCGAAACCAATGCGAGAGTTGGTGGTGTCAAAGACGGAGTAGTATTGCTCCAAGAACTTCTGTCCAATGATGGTGTTGACACCGGAAGCACCTCCATCGTTGATCCAGGCGTAGTACTTGCCGGTGGTAAGACCGTAGACGGAGTATTGGGCGGTTGGGACCAAGTATTGTGCTGGGGTAAGGGTGTAGGTGGTGGTTCCGAACTTGATGGAGAAGTTTGCTGTTGGCTTGGTGGTGAAGATAGCAAGACCGGAGGAGCTGTCGGTTTTACCGCTGGCGGCAGTGAGGAATTTGGTGTAAGCTGCGGTTGGGATGTAGATCAAAGTAGTTCCGGTGTCAACAATTCCAGAAGCGGATGTTGCAAGGGATGTAGTGCCGTAAGTGAAACCAGCGATGCTGATACCCCAGTAGTATGAGGCATCGCCAGATGTGGCCTTGGGGAAGTAGGTAAGA